GGTAAAGTAGAAAAGAAGTGGTCTGATGTGAAAGACATTTAAAAGTCAAAATCAACAGGACTTGATGGAGTGAATTGAGGGGGGTGGAGTGAAAGAGTCAAAGAGGAGTCTCAGGCTCCTTTCTGGCTTGTACAGCTGGATGGATGATGCTGCTGCTCACCAGGATGGACGTGCTTGAAAGAGCCAGGAGGTTCATGGTGCTGGGAGTTCATAAGCTCACTTTAGAGTTTACTGGCTCTGAGATGCACTTGGGATATCCAAAGAGATTCCAGAATAGGTTTTGACATGCAGATCTGGAGGAAGGGTCTAGGAAAGAGGCAATAATTTGGGAGTTACTGGGATGTAGATGGCAATTCTGAAAAAAGAATACAATATTCATGTTATAGTGGGCGTTACAATGTGATTTTTCTCAGTGTAAGAACAGAATGTATAATGATTAAATCATGGTTATGAGTCTACCCATCACCTCAACCACTTGTCAATACTTGTGTTAGAAAAATTTTAAAATCCTCTTTTTGAGTTACTCTGAGATATATAATATGTTAACTATATCCTCCTGACTGTATTTTATGACACTAGAAATGGTTCCTTTTATCTATCTGTAATTTTGTTTCCATCAATCAACATTGCCCCATTACCACTCAGATGGCAATTTAAAACACTGGTGTAGACAGGACCTAGGGGCTCAGTGTGAGGAGAGAGGAGGGCCTGGACTGGAGCTTTCAGAAGGCATTGAAACATTTCAAGTCCATGCAGAGAAAACATGGCAAGTGGGAGTGAGGGCATGTGATCAGACTCTTGGAGACAGGTAGGACAGTACAAAGAAGGGAGAGAAGCCCAAGAGGGTAAGAGGGAGTAACCAGCCAACCCCGTCCCTCTAGACAGCACCTGTAACTGCGTAGTTCACTGTTAAACAGAGAGCGTCTGTGCGTGTCTCCGAGCATCGCAGATCTGAGCATTTTAGAGAATGTTGAAATCTCTAAGTCATCTTATTACACAGTTACTGATCTTTGGCCCCATCCTCCAAACACCAGGACCACTCACACTCTTTTCTTATTCCTCTATGCCTCTTTAAGACAATAAAAGAGAAAACGGAAAATACATTATATATATATATATATATATATATACATATATATACAAACACATACACACATATATAAATGTCTGTAATATACATATATGTATGTATATGTCTTTAAGTTTGAAGGTGAAACTGCTCCCAATTCCCTTTGCGTGACCGAGTGGAAAGTAACTGCAGAATCTGGCATGTCTCTCGCTGGTTTTTCTGTCTCCCCTTTCCCCTGTAAACCTGGAACTCCTCAGGAACTACTTTGGGACCTGTGGCCCTGGGCACCGCAGTTCCAGAAATAACCCTGCTGGGCAATCAGCTGCCTGTGAGTAAATGGCCAGCGATGAGGTGGAAGAAGCTCCTGGTGTTCAGGGAATGCCTCGCTGGTACTTTCCCCCCATCCTGCTGTAATTAGGGGCACATCAAGAGTTCCCCACCTTTGACTTCCAGATATTCAGGAAGACAGACGGAAGGTCAGATGAGAGTGGACCCCCTCCCTGCAGGACAAAGCTCTCCAGGTGCCTGGCACAGGGACTGTCCCTTCCCTCCCCTTCCCTGCTGGTGAGAGTAGCAGAAGCACCAAATCCTCGCTTTTCCTCTAGGTCAGACACCAGGCTTGTGGCAACAGTTCCAACCACAAGCTGACTACTAGATACAAATGAGTCATTCCGGCCTTCTGCTTTCCTTTCAAGAGTCAGCTGTCATGTGCCGCCAGCCGGCCCGTGACTCACTCAAGCTCCTTGGCCCCAGGGAAGTAAGCACTCTGAAGATTCCTGACTTCCAGGCTCCTCCTAAGCCAAGAGAGTCACGTTGCTCTTAGGATGATGCACTGAGGCATCCTGGCTAATTCCCACTTGCTGTCCTGCCAGCAAACGCTCCATTGTTCCTGAGCTTAGAACTGAGAGAAGACAGCTTGTGTTGCTTTGATTGTACACGACGAAGCTCAAGCCAGTTAGGGCACGCAGAACGTTGAAGAGCTAATGAGCGTTTCCCTTTGGTTTAGAGAAGGTGAAATCTGTGTACACCCAGGGTATTTCTAACTCCACATCTTGATTGTGAGGGAATGCAGAGACGTCCAGAAACTTCAGGAAGTGATCCCAAGCCTCTTACACTGTAAATGCAGTCATAGCCCAAAGACGCTCCAAAAAGACGCTGACCTTGTGTTCAGTTTCTTCTTTCTTCCCAGCCTTATCGCATACTCAAACATTTATTCATTTTCAATGAGGACTTCGTATGAGGAGGAAGTTTGGTAGCCATGTTTCCATAATCTCATTTTCTGGGCTCCTCCTCGTCAGTGTCCTGTGTGCTCCAGAATCAGGTCAGCCGTCATGAGCTTTTGCCAAATGTTCATACTGTTGAGGCTACAGACAGATGAATCAGCCATTGCCTCACTGAATTAAGCTCAACTGTGCCATTTGGAATTATCGCTATTACAGAATTATTCCCTGCTCCTTCTCCTGTCAGTATTTCCTGGTGGATATTCATCAGTCACAGACAAGGACAGAGCTGTTTTATGTGCGTGGAGAAGCTAAGAAACCCTATGTTAGGTTATTTTATATAGATGAAAAGTAATTGTATAGACATTTGAATTCTGACCTAAATGGTGACCTTTACATTGTTAGCAACCACTTTATTGAAAAATTTAATATAAGGAGACTTCAAAAATAGAAATAAAATACAAGTTAGTTTTGGTGCAAAAATTTTTATGAAATCTATGCAGGTTTTTTTTATAATACGCATCTCCACGAACTTTTTGAAGACCCCTTATGATCATATTCTATAAGAGAGTCTACTACATGTACTTGTTGTAAGGTAGTTCCATGTAGTCTCAATGAAGTTACAGACTATTTTTTATATTCACTTGTGCGTGTGTGTATGCACATGTGCATGTGCATGTGTGTGGGGTGTTTTTAAAAAGGGTCTCTCTGTCTTATGATCTCCCACCCCAGTTTCCTGCATACCCAGGGCCACAGTTGTGGGCTACCAGGCTTTGAGTCAGGGTCTCACAGTGTTCCCCACACTGAGCACAAGCTTCTGACTCCCCTGCTTCAGCCTCCTAAGAAACCAGTGCTACCACTGCCCAGCTTTTTAGGATGAACTGAGAATCAAACCCAGGCCTGCCATGTGGCCTCAGCCTGCTCCAGCTACCAAAGTGTGACCGCAGCTGGGTCAGAATATGTATTCTTAAAATGAGAATGTCACACCTGGATGACCTAGAGTTTGAAGGTGAAAGTAAACATTTAAAGTTGTGGTTAAGGATCTGCTTAATGAACGTCAGATTTATAACAAATCCAAATGGGTCCCTTTAATCAATGAAGATCTAAAACAAGACACCAGCTTTTACCATGAAGACTAGCAGCCTGGCTGCCTCAGGTCTCACTAAGGTAGGTTAGAAGTAACTTTTTGTGACCCCTCTCTTTCCAGTGATTTTAAAGGAGTATCATAACATTCTCAAAACGAAAGCCAATAAAATTTATTTTACAAAATATTTCATACAGTAATTTCATAAGAGAACAGCATTCTGAAATTAAAAAAAATACCCATGATTAATGTCAATTGATCAAATGCACGAATTCATTGAGCATCTATTTTATAAAATACATTGAACAATGTTTTGTAAGTGATAAAAAGAAATAGCGTGTTCTTTTCCCACAGGAAATTTTAATTTAAATAGGAAGACGGGTTACACAGTGTACAACTTTGAACAAGTAGTAGGTAATTTAACTACATTAAGTGTCAAGGATAGTGGTGAGTATAATAAGTGAATGATACAGGCACCACAGGCTTTCAAAAAGAGAAAGAACATTTGAGGCAGGTGTAACTAGAAAAGATATACTGAATTGGTTTGAACCAAACCAGTGATGAATGATGAACAAGTTGTGAGGTAGCTTAGAAACAAGTCATGACTGTCGTTGAGTTTGACAGCTGTACCAGAGGCTGCCTTACTAATTTGTACGTCACTTTTCCAATCCACAGTCTGTTCAAGGCCACTGACGTAAATATGGCCAGTCATCATGTTGGTGTCCTCTTGTAGGGTTTTTGCACTGAACAATAGGAAGATGCATATAATTATTTAAAGTTGAATGTCTTAGTCTAAGATAACATCTTTACTCTGAAGATAGACATGTTCCTAGCTTAATAATTTTAAAGATCTTTTTAAAAAATTTAATAACATATTTGTTAATGGCAAAGAGAAAAATGTTCACAAATATAATCAAATTTATAAAGGTAGCAAAAAACTAATCTTAAAAAAGCCTAACCTCGAACTTCCGAGTAACTGTTGTTACCTAACAAACGGAGTGTCTCAGTGCTTCCTAAACTTGACATGCCTAAGACTCACTCTAGAGTCCTATTAAAATGCAAATTCTGGGCCAGCAGAGGTGGCACAGAGGTAACACAACTCCACAGTGCAGAAGCCATGTGGGAAGGTTTTGAGTTCAAATCCCCCTGTACATGCTGGACACCAGAGCAAGAGCACCTGTGATCCTGACTGGCTGAAGCTGGGGAATGAATTGCAGCATGAAGACCCTGTTGGTGGTCTCTTTCTCTCTCTCTCTCTCTCTCTCTCTCTCATATAAAAGAAGGAAAGAAAGAGAGAGAGAGGAAGGAAGAATGGAAGGAAGGGAAGAAGGAAAAAAGAGAAAAGAAAAAGAAAGGAAGAAAGAAGCTTTTTTTAAAATGCAGATTCTGAATCTGCAGGTCTGAAGCGAGACCTGAGAATCCGTGTTTCGAACAGGTCCCAGAGGAGGTAGGGGCTGATGGTCTGTGTGCTTTGAGCAGCAGGATTGTAGAGTCATCATGCTTGCCTCTGTTAGGGCTTTATCTTAAATGGTAATACCTGCTTAAGAAAAACAGCTCTATTACTAGCGAAATATTTCATATGGCTTTGGCACTTCGTGCTCACCCAACTCCCTGTCTTTTCCTTTAGCACGAAAACAAGAGATTATCAAAGTCACAGAACAACTGATAGAAGCTATCAACAATGGGGACTTTGAAGCTTACACGTGAGTAGAGGCACATGCCCTTGCTCTTATGCCTGTGGCAAGTGCGTTTTCTGTACGACGGCATTCTTCAGTGTATGTGAGTCTGTATAAGGAGCCCCAGGTTCATGTGTCCACAGTAGCTTTAGTTCAAGATACAGGAGACCAAGTGCCCCCCAGGAGAGAAATAAATACATTTGAGATTTCAGAGAGCAGAGACCTGGCTTCCACTCTGAGGTTTGGGAACTTCTTTGTAATGTGACATGTGTAACCACCCACAATCCATGTGCGAGAAGGACATTCCAGGGCGACAACCCGCACGAGAAAAGACAAAGAGAAAAACAGAAGCAGGAAAGCGCCTTAAAGTGCATCTGGGTTAAGAACTGCTCCCCTCACTGTGTTCTGGAGAAGTGCAGGGACAGGGAAGGGGCTGAGGAGGCCTCACGCAGCCTTCTCCCTCTTCAGCGTGTGCAGTTCAGCTTTGTCTGCATCTCTTGTCTGTGCTCATCTAATAAGGAAAATTTTATTTGAAGAAAGTGTTCTAATGCTTAATTTAAAGTGTATAAACTATTGGATTTGGGGACATGTGAAGAAAATTACTTTGGGACCAGCAGTTGGCATAATGGCTATGTCGTTGTACTCCCATATAGTAGACTGTCGTTCAAGTTCTGGACCTGGTGTCTTAAAACTCAGGCTGGGCGCGTGTGCGTGCGTGCCCAAGATCCTGAGAGGAGAATGGAGGAGAAGGGATTGCAGCATAGTTATCCCCCCTGGGGGGGGGTGATTTCTTGCTTTCTGTCTCTCTGTATCTTTCTGTCTGGCTGGCAAGTGCACACACCCTATGGCAAAAACCTCTCCAAAAAAAAAAAAAAAAGAAAATTACTTTGCTCAAGTACAGATGAAGTACTCAGACCAGCTGCAGTGGCACATTGTAATGACCCCACTGTGCTGCTGAGGCCACTGGAAGGTTCTGAATTCAAGTCCTGAGGTCTCCCTGTACATGCCAGACATGCACATGTGCTCGTGACCCTGTCTAACTGAGGCTAGGGTTAAAAAACAGCACGAAGGCCCTACTAAGAATGTTCCTCCTTCTGTCCCCGCTCCCACCCGACCACTGCCATTTCTATGAAAGGGAGAGGGAAACAAACAAACAAACAAACAAAGGAAAATAGTTTTTTTGTTAAAAAAAAAAAAAGCATTTTTATTGTCTGAACCATCAGTTCTCTATTAAACAATTGTTTATAGTTTTGTGCCATAGAACCTGCTTGCATTTGTTTGTCTGTCTGTTTGTTTATTTATTTATTTGCTGTAGTTGCCTTATTAGGTCCATATGAGTCTCCAAAGAATATGAATATTCTTTAAAAAGAATCTTCTATTGCAATAACATTTCTCTGTTAAATGGTAATAAGGTATGTTTTGCTGTTATTGTTCTTCATTCAGAATCAGGGAGCAATTGTAGCCAGGTGAAAGTGGGATATTTCCTATCTGCTCAGATAGTTTAAAGTAGGGTATTTTAAATAATGCAGTACCTTAGGATCACATCAGCTCACTAATTCCTTTGCCTAAGGAAACCTGTAATCTGATCTGATTTTGTACTTTCGAGCCCAAGGATAGTCCAGCAGAATTTCCATTTGGAAACAGTTTGGGTAGTGGAATGTATTGGTGTAGCTGTCGCCCGGTCCCCAGCACCCTCTTTGGACCATACACATCCGCATGTCAGATGGTAGTTTTTGAATCTTTTATAATCCAAATAATGCAAGGGGAAAGGTAGATAGATGACAGGTAGATGGATAGACAGACAGAAAACAAAAAGGAAAAAATAGCAAATTAACAGGATTTCAAATATATTGTCTCTTTGGGTAGCTGGATAAAAAGATCAATCATGATGAATGATTCCCAGATGATCTTAGAGCTCATGTAAGACAGTAAGAAATGTTGGTTGACTGATATTGACAACCAAAGCTCATGTTTATAGAGGAAATAATAGCCCTAGCAGAATGCATTTCCGTTACCATGGAAACACTGTTCTCTCTTTTTTACTCCTAAGAAAGCGATTATGTACATTTGAATTTAAGCTTAAAAATACCTGCCCAACAGGCAGTCTGAGTCGAAGTTTATAATCCCTACCCACCCTACCTTTAAAGCTTTCTTTACCACAAAGAATTGCCACTGTGATTGTCTACTTTAAAAGTATTCTTTAGAAAACACCAGTTGAGCAGCACTATTCTTTGAAAAACTGTGATGAGTTAGACTTTGAAATTTGTTTCACTGAACAGTTAAGGAATTTTGCCTCCTAAATGTGGGATTCTGTATGAAATTAGATGTGGCCGCATCTACTGAATTGCCCTTTGGGGCAAATTAGTAGATAGTAATTAACCCTTCAGCTAATACTCCTTTTCTACCTTGTGAACTCCCACTAATTCTTCACATCCTGGTCTTATCACCTTCTGTGAGAAGCCCAATTCCCATGGGCAAAGGACACATTTCCCCCTGTTTCAGTGGGATGGACAGACACGGCCCAGTGACCCAGTGCTCTCTGTATCAGAAAACTAGCCAACCCTCCACAGGCATGATCTGAACTTCCACAAGGCCATCTCCTCTGCCCACTGCCCCCTCCTGCCCTCACCTCCACATACTGAAAACACTTACTCATTCTAAAATCTCTTCACTTTTCCCTGTCTGCTGTTTATAAGTAATCATGGTTTGAATATTTTGCATTTCCTTTCCTAGTATTAATTCTTCTGTGTTGTAATTGCTGATGTCAAAGAATACCTGCTACACCATTGGTGTTTAACAATTCTTTATCGAATAAATAAGTTTCTCCAAAGACAGCTCATTGACTTTCTCTGAATATCTCAATTGTATGCCCTTCTGTTGAATCATATTTTTAAGATGAAAGAGAAAGCTGTGTTCATTTGAACCTCTTATTAACTTAATGTTTAAGGTAAAAATAAACTTTAATCACTACAAACTTAATTCTTATAGACACTGCCAAGAAGTGTAGGATATGATACCTTCCTTTGAATAAAGTATAATATAGATGTTTAACATGAATGTAGAATGTGTAGTCCATTGAAAATTATTCCACAGGTATTTAATTTCAGAACCAAAGATGGCTCTTTTCCGTAAGTTAATTCATTTTCTGAGCGAGAGAGAGAGAACAGGCACGCTGAGCAGAGTCTCATTATGCCACACACACCATTTCCCCTCCGCCCTGCCTTCCAGTCAGCCACGACCATAGTGCAGTGTGCTCAGTGTGCTTCAGGTCAGCTCGGGGTCTGAACCATGTACCGCTATGTGGCTCCAGCACTGCAGAGCGGCACCTTACCGCCTGCACCTCCAAGGCTGGGCTCCAAAGGTGGTTTGATAGGACTTGGTGAGTGTCTTGAATTGAACTAGAGAACTTGGGGAACATTTTAAAAATAATAAGCTGAAGTCTTGATTAGAAGAACCTAGAAAAATGGGAAAATCTACCCTGGAAATAAAAAGTAAACATTTTTCAAAGGTGTCTCCTAAATTATTGTAGATTGTCATCTGCTTGAACCCATTAAATAGGTTTGTTCCTATCAGAATTCTCTGCAAAAAAATGCATTTTTTGGAGTCCACTTCTGAACCTACTTCTCAATACAAGGTCTCTGATAGAAACTTTATATTTTAGTGTGTTTTAAGAGACTCTTTCCTCCACTGACTGATAAATGAGAAAATTTGCACATGAAACAGCACAATATTTTAATGTAATTATTTATTGGTTATTTTCATTATTTTTGTTCCCACAGAAAAATCTGTGACCCAGGTCTTACTGCTTTTGAACCAGAAGCTTTGGGTAATTTAGTGGAAGGGATGGACTTTAACCGGTTCTACTTTGAAAATGGTACATTTATTCTCAATTTAGTTACATGCCTTTTCCAACTTCTTTTGGATTTTCTCAAATTTGCAGATTTTTTGGCTCCTGTCTAAAATGAGAATTTTTGCCTTTGACTAGCACTTTACACCATAAAATTTTTTTGCATTTGCAATTGAAAAAAAAATGATAAATTTAAAAGTGTTGGCGTGTTTTGAAAAATATCTGACATTGTAAAAAAGTAATGTTGATAGAATCATACCATCTAAGTCCCATGAATGTTTAATAGTATTATAATCTACAAAATGAGTTCCCAGAATATTTGTCATTTAAAATTTTCTTAAAACCATTTATATATATATATATTAAAAAATTAGAGAAACTGTGGCATACCAGAATATTCAACATAGAAGTGTACTTAGTGTACAGAGAAAATCCAAGTGTACTTTCAAGTATATTTATTGCTTATTTTCAAAGTAAAATGTAAACAAAGATAAGTAATTAGATGAATATTTCTACACAAATGGCAAGAATTTTAGCATTCTCAGAGGTAAAACCACATTTCAGAGGAGGTGACAAAAGAAACTGCCCCTGCTTCCAGTTCATCAAGAAAAATGTAAACCAGGACTTTCCTTTTTCCTTCTCCTTTCCTTACACCCAACTGCATTAGACACTGTGCTGTCTGTGAGAGACATACAGTGAATCCGCTCCTCCCACAGCCTCTCTTCCCACAGTGAGATCTTGTTGAAGTAAAGAGGTGCTGTAGTAATGACTAGGATAAACCACTCAAAGAATTTTTTGCTCCAAAATAAAAAATAATTCCATGAACTTCTCTAGTCCTCTCATATTTCCCTATCCTATACACTCCAGCAATAAAAAGGAACACACCACCAGATACTCTGCCAATGTCCAGCAGTTCATTCCTTGATGAGACAGGAACTTCTTGGTGCACCTGGGCCAGGCCTTCTCTTCCTCTATTTGCATCATGGCTCCCATTTCTAATCACTTTCCATCATAAGTAAATACTTCTCTCCAGTTTTTCACACCAATCAGTCAAAATTTCCAGAATACCATATAAATTGGCCTTAAGAGAATCAGGGGAAATAAAGACCATCCAACTTTTGTGCTTTCTCTTTTCCTTTATATTCTGTACAATACTCTGCACTTAGTGCAAATAGTCGATTAATTAGTTTATGAGTGAAGAGATGATGTTCTAACCATTGTTTCCAACCAAAGTTAATACTTGATTTGGTTTACTTTATACAGAAACTAAAATTTTGCTTTTCATGTTGTTGTCTTTCAGCTTTGTCCAAAAGCAATAAACCAATCCACACCATTATCCTGAACCCTCACGTGCACCTGGTAGGGGATGACGCTGCTTGCATAGCATACATTAGGCTCACACAGTACATGGATGGCAGCGGGATGCCAAAGACAATGCAGTCGGAAGAGACCCGTGTGTGGCACCGCCGGGATGGAAAGTGGCAGAACGTTCATTTTCATCGCTCCGGGTCACCAACAGTACCCATCAAGTAAATATTTCCAGGCTGTCAGCTTCTTTGTTAATATGCCCATGGTCAGCCCCTTCTACTTATCCCACTGTTAATAGCATGGCATATGTCGTTTAATGATAACGGTTGGTTACATTGGTGGAAATAAATGCCTTTATGGAAAAGTTAACATTTCCTGGAAGGATCGATCAGACCAGCCATTTGTGGTTGAGATTTGCCATAGGACAGTACACAAAAGTTTTAGGTAGGAACTAGAGACTAGTCTGACTCTCATAGGGTTAGGTCAGAGGAGAGTCACATAACGAGACAAGACAACGGGACTTCATTTTCACAGTTGACAGAATAAGGAGCTGTGAGAAGAAAGCACAGAAAGAAGTTTCTAAAACAGCCAAGACACGGTCAGGAGCTGTGTTTCATGATTATCCCTACGGCCCAGTTACAGATATTAGAGAAAACAATGTAAATGACAGCATTTAAAAGGCAAATGTCAGATATGGCAGTGTCTCTCACCTCATCCTTCTACCTCAGCTGTCGAGTTTGCTCTTTCCGCCAATAACCGGCAGACATTTATTGCCCATCTCCTAGGTGCTTAGCCTGTGCCAGATAGTTTGGAAAGCAACTATCCTGGTAACAAAGAAGAAGCGATGAAGTGGGGAAGGGAATGAATGAGCCATGTAGCAAACTGTTCAAAGGGTTCGGGCACTGGCTTTGTCTGTAAGATGAACTTTGATTGGGGTAAAGTCCTAAATGATGAGTGGGCTTGGGAGACACAGAAAGAAAGGAAGAACTGAAGGAAGATAGTCCGAGCTATAGGAGCATCATGAAGCAAAGTACAACATCCAGACTTTAGCTTAAGATAGAACGCAAGTGTGAGGAAGGCTGGCTCCAACTGGACTGAAGGGGAGTAATGGGAAATGGATTGCATCACATGGGTGATAAGGGAGGTTGAAAGGAAAGCTAGAAGGGACACTTAGGCTCAGTTAGTAGAAGTTTGGCCTACTTCTGACCGCTTTCCAAATGCACTAGCCAGAATTAGCTGTTAAGATCTGGGGCCATAGAATGGGAAGTCAACTTTCTAATATAAACAGCCATTCAACTCATTCCAGAGACTCCGCCATGATTTCTTAGTTTAACAACTAAGTACCACAGTGGTTTCCAAAGACCCTCTCTACAGCCTTAATAACTAGAGATAACTGTTGGGTTTGTAAAACGTGGGTCGACAAGGACCAAAACAAAACTAAAGACAGATAGGTCAAAAACCATCTAGAAAACAATAGCTCTGTAATGAAGAAAAAGCTACAAAAGGCATCCGAAGATAATGAAGTCACCACTTTTTGTGTTTGTGTTTTCTTTCCCCCAAAGAGGTATAGCACAGCTGGCCAGCTAATTCAGGAGAGGTGATACTCAGACCACACTAGAGGGCTAGGGTTCGGTGTGATTTCCTGGAGTGTTTATGGGATAGAGCCTATTTAAGAAAACTTCATTTTATGCCAGATGGCTTAAGTGGGGCTTCTCTTAATAGGCCACCCTGTATTCCAAATGGGAAAGAAAACTTCTCAGGAGGCACCTCTTTGTGGCAAAACATCTAAGGCCTGAAAACCATTCACAAATGGGTCTTGTAAGTAACATCCTGCTCCGAAGTACTTCAGGGTTGGAGCGAATGTCTGAAAAGCTGCATGGCTGTTTTCCTTCCCTTGAGGATGATGTCTCTTGAGTTGCACTCACACAAGGTCTTCGAAAATGCGTAATAGTTTTGCACGAGCTCTTGAGCCTGATCTTAGCCCTATTTTGTAGCCTATATAGCCCTCCTTTTAAAGGCAGTTAAAGTGGAGAAGAAACTTTTCTCAGCATAGAGATTGTGTCATTGCACAATTGTGGAGTTCCCGCATCAAAAGTTAATTATACCTGGGTCAATTCAGGTGACTCTCAGTTATCCAGCTCTAATTCATACGAAGCTTTAGGATCCTTTGCTCTCTGACTGCTTTTCAAGAGGTTGCAATTCCTGCCAGCTCAGCTAGCTCAGGTTAATATGTAAATCCATTTGCCGAGCCTGACTGCATATACAGTGGTACTTGATCTGAGGAGAGGCGGCTGGAGGAAGTGAAACCGAGCTTCAAAACTCACCAAATGGGTAATTCCAGAGGATAATTGAGAGTTGACTGTAACTAAATCCATGCCTGTGTTGTCTTTTGCAAAGCTTTGTTTCTTAAATTGGGATTAGAAGGCTTCAGATACGTGTTGGTGCTACTGTGACTATTGTCCCCATTCAAAGCACTGAACCTAATCAGAGCTATAACAAGATAGTGTTCCCAGCTGCTGCTTTGAAGAAAGTAGACCTCCAATTAAATAAGAATGATCATTTTTTTCCCAACTTTAGAGGCTATCTTCCTTGTTAAATTGACTTCTAGGTTTGATTTCCCAAGGAGTCTAAGAATAATGACAAAAGCTAAGGAGGGACTTGAACTTGAGTCTATTCCAACCAAATAAGAATACTTATTAATTTTTCTAGTCGATAGAAATGCTTAAAATGTATGTTTAGATTTAATAATGTGATTGAAGCTTACTTTTTTAGCTTAGCTTTGTGTGAACAAATAGATCATTAATACCAGTTTTCTGTGTGATACTGTCTTTAACACAGTGTATTTTATGTTGTAATAATCACCAGCAAAGATCTCCTATCCGTAGTGTTTTCAATATATCCTTTAGCTAAGTTGTCAACTTGTAGCCTAGCCACATCTATGGCAAAGCAATTTGATGACATTTTTTGTAAAACAGTGTAATTTTATTTCTTCCTCCCCCTTTCTCCTTTCAGCTAAATATCAACAGTGCCACTTCCGCATTCTCTGTTCTCAAGGCACCTGGATGGTAACCCTGAGCCGTCCTCCCCTCCTCTTCATGCATGTTTCTGAGTGCATGAAGTTGTGAAGGTCCTACACGTAATGCATATGTGATGCACCATCTTATCATATATTCCTTCCTACACATTGTTTACACTTCGACTACGGGATGTTCCATGAGAACTTAAATTACTCTCGGCAAACAACAGGGGGAGGGCAGACAAAAAAATTCCACAATTTTCCAAGTACAACCTACTCATCAAATTTCTCAGTTTATGCCAAGGTTTAACAGATTAAAAATTATTGTTCTCTGAATGACAGTTTGTAAGAAAAATGTAAATTTTTAAAAACTCTTTGCTGTTAGTCTGTTTTGGCTTGTTTATTTTCTTTTTTAAAAAATGGCAAAAAAAAAATACCTTCAGTTTTGTGATGATCCAGGTTGAAATGGATGATGTTTCACTGGATTTTACAAGTGGGTGAATATGTGGGCAAAATCATATATGAATGTAAAAGGAAGAACCAATTGGTTTACTACCATCTAAAGCCATATTGTTTTGGGTCAAATTGTGTAAACTGGAAGAATTCACATCATTTATGAGTTTGATCACTTTAGGATATATATACTCACTGTTCTGGTATATTTGCTAACTTGATTTTTTTTCTTTCTCAAATCTGTGCTGTTTTCTTCATTTAATCCCATTTCCCTTTTCCTTTTGTTTGCATCCTTTTTAATCTTTCTTTTTTACTATTCTTTATTTTGATTTTCGGGGTGCTGGTATGTATTAAAAAAGATTAAAGTAAAATGTGCGTAATGAAGGTAGAGTAAAGCTAGAGGCCTTCGGAGTGTAATTAAACTAATGCTTTTGACCATCTTCAGGGCCCACAACTATGTGGTTAAGATTTTAAAGGTTTTTAATCTGCTTAGGCTCTGGTAAGGACGTAGGTGCCCTGTGTGGAAGGTTCTCAAATTGTTCAAACTCAAGATAAAAGCGAGTTCCTACTCCAAGCTGCAATGTGTCTGGCCGACTGAGGCCGTTGCAGGAGAATACCGAGTTGATAGCAGATCAGAGTTTTGTGCAAATGCACTTACTTCTGCCTTGTGGAATGTTAAGGCCCCTCCAGCAACAACCCTCACTGGTTTTCTAAAGTTAGAGAGGCTAACGAGTGTTTTCCATCCTCACCGTGTTTTGAACTTGGTCTTTGTGACTTGTGCTGTTTTAGCTTCTCTTTTGAGTCAAGTATCATGATCTTCCTCCAAGGAGTTAGGATTTTCCATTATAAAACAAAAGGAAAAGGGAAATGTCCACGTTTTCTTCATGCTTTTCGTTTGTCCTTTGTTGATCCAGTTCCCGTGAGGCTTTTTCTCCACTCAGAAACGCTCTCTAGCGCATGGACTCTCCCTCAGCATCATGTTCGCGTGCAATTCACAGTCTTCTTCAGAAGCCTATTTTTAAAGCAGAAGCAAAAACCAAAATCGAAACAACGAAAAACAATCCTCCCTCTTTTCTCTCATGTCACCTTTCTGTGTCGTTACTAATCACCTTAGATATCGTTGCTAGTGGATGTTTGGTAGATGGGTTGAAGCTTTTCTGATAATTATTACACGATTTAAAACAATATATATTTAAAATAAATATATACAGTCAATGTATTGAGCCATGTTAACCTGCCAATGAGATCTGTGAAAAAGTAATGGCCTCATTTTTCCCTTTTTAATTTCTTTTACCTTTTTGTGAAGCAGCTATACGTGGCATACATGTATTTAAAAAAAAAATTAGGTGTTAGAGTGGTTTTTTTTTTACACTTTTAACTTAGCATGTGGTGTTGAAGTATTCCTGTAGATCCAGTTTGTCTTCCCACTCCGATGTGAGGAAACCGTGGTCCGTTCTCTCCACCACACCGGAATTACACATTTATTATCTCCTATCGTTTTGAAACACTGCAGTTTACCATGGGACACTGTATATATTTCTTGCCATAATGGTAAATGACTGATTGATATATGTAAGAGTTAATAAATTTGTGATTTCTGCTGACCATGCGTCCGTCGTTGTTTCTTAAGAGGGGCTCTGTCCGCCCATGTGTGCTCCGGCCGCGCCCAGCGCCGTGAGTCCTGCCTGTCTCCCTCAGCGCAGCACTTGGTGCACTTGGTGCTGGCCGTAAGTTCGTTGTTCTCCGAGCAGAAAATGATCGTTTCTCCTGGGAAAATTTTGCTGAGGACAAAGTAGTTAACAAGGACAAGCCCTGGGGCCAGCAGATGGCATAGCGGTTACATTGTTAGACTCCAACATGCCCAACCACGGCTTAAGTCCCAGGCCCGGTGGCTTGAAACTCATGCCGAGTGTGTGTGTGTGTGTGTGTGTGTGTGTGCGCCCAAGATCCCGGGAGGACAATGAAGGAGAAGGGACTGTGGTGTGGTCATCGTCCCTGAGGGAAAAGGTAATTTCTCACTTTCCTTCTCATTGTCTCTGTCTCTCTCTCCAGTGAGCACACATGCCCTAAGGCAAAACCCTCTTTTAAAAAAAAGGAAGAAAGAAAAGAGGACAAGCCCTAAAAGCTTCTAAGTTTGTCCCCTCCAAGCCATCCTTCACGTGGCTGCTGGGATGTCCCTTTCCCAGCCCATGTCTAGCCACTGGCCATGCAGCATGCTGGCCCCCAGGACACAGATAGGCTGGCCAGCTCCTGCAGCCTTACCATGTGAATTCCAGTGGACAGAGTACAGAACTGCCTTCAAGTTTCTGAAAGCACTGTGCTTTCTCTTCCATCTGCGTATGCTAGTTATGCTTCCTGCTTAGAATATCCTTCCCCTTCTTCCACCTGGTTGTGCTTCAGATCCAGCTCAGAGGCTCATCCCCGCGGAGCCCTCCTGGCCATGCTCGGGGCTGCCTGGCACTCCCAGTACTCTTGCACTCTGAGTGTACCTCTCCTGCCAACCTCCTTGTTTTGAAAATAGAACTTCATTTGTGTCTCCTCTCCTGGGAGCCTGATGTCTCTGTGGACAGGAACTGTGTATCTATGCTTGTCTCCCTAACCCCCAACCAGGGCCAGGAAGGTAGATGTTAATAAGCAGTAGTTCAACTGAGACCCAGCTGTGAGAGAAAGCCTCATGGTGTCATCAGCTAGGACTAGGCGGTGTCCAACTCTGTCACTGCCATCTTAGTACTCTGAGCACAGTGCCTCTCAGCTCTGAAACTGTCTCCACATTTGTGAAATGAAAGCAAATAGCCCTATTTCATAAGGGCATTGTGAGGGTCAGAAGTACTGGTTACAGAGAGCCTGGAATGGTATTTGCAGATTCAATGACGGCTGTCCCCGTCATTCCTATTACTCCTCCCGGGAGTGGGGGTGTGCATGGCTGGTGTTGCTCTGGGCAGCTCTCTTTGTATGGGTATGAGGTGGCTAAGGAGATCCTCCTCGTCAGATGTCACTGCGGGGACACAGTGAGGTAGTCACCCAGCTGGAAGTAGGAAAGTTGAAATGGAGCAAATCGGTATATTCTAGGCAAGTTTTAAGGGATATCCAGTTTGATGGAAATGTTGACTCTGTGTAATTAAGCGTTACATAGAAAGTAAGGGTAAACAGAGAAGACACACTTCTGAGTGTTTTCATTCAATAAAGTTCTACCAGCTTGTACAAACAGGCTTTTGTGGTCTCCTTTGTCACACACAAAAAAGGTGAGCATGTGTGAACAGATTGTAAGGAAGATAACACACTGAACCCCGTGTCTGGGCTCTGAACAATGAACTATCATACCCTCCCTTGGCCACTGAGCGCAGCATGAACTGTCTACAGCATT